CCAAGGATTTCATGTCTATCAAGTGCCCTCCTCTTGGACATTTGTACTGCACGTTAAGAACATCAGGAATTCCAACCCTTGGAACAACCATAAGTACTCGGAAGGTTTGCCCATTTTCACTTTTCCATACTCGATGCAAGCAGCCATACACTAAATTTAAACTGCTCCGTTCTGCCCAATATGGTTTTGTGACTGGCCTTCCTGTAGTTATTTCTCCAATCGTTGTACATTAGTTCAACTCCACCTTATGTAATGCACCTTCCAATTTTGGATCTTCTTGCACAGAGTCATCCGTTTCAGGTTCAATTTTATGCTGATCTTCCACCTGTGATGGTATACACGCTTCCTGCTCTTCCCACTGTAAAGACACTTTTGCTGGTATCTAAGCTTCTTGCTCTTCTAACTGTGAGGAACCTTTTACTGGTTCACACGCTTCCTCCTCTTCCAACTGTGAGAGCACCTGCCCTGACATACGCAGTTCCAGCTCTTTCGACTGTGAGGACCCTTGTACTGGTACACACGCTTCCTCCTCTTCCGACTGTGAGGACACCTGCGCTGGCATGCGCCCGTTCAGTTCTTCCGACTGCGAAAACACTTGCGCTGGTATACAAGCTTCTTGCTCTTCATACTGTGAAGATCCTGGTTCATATGCTTCCTCCTCTTCCAACTGTGAGGATACCTGCGCTGACATATGCACGTCGAGCTCTTTCGGTGCTGACAACTGTGCTGAAAAACTTTCAAAGAAGGATTCCAACGCAGCACAAATAACCTCTACTGAATATTGAGTCACTTCCTTCTCTTGTTTCTTTGTTGTCTCTTCCTCTAATTCCGATTGAAAGACATATTCCTCAACATTAATGTTCTTTGCCCCCATGGCTCTTCTTAACCGCGACTGTAATTTGGACTTTACTCCCTTTGTTGCCAAGCCACGTTTTTGCAGCTCCTTTTTCAGTTGTGGAATCTTTAGATCGTTAAACTTGGCCACTTTCAAACAATTCTTTCTTTGGGAATTTATTTGACAATCCCACTTCTGACACCAATTGTAACGGATTTCTCGATAAATCGTCTACCTGTAACTCACTCTTGAGTTGGATCACTGGATTGTTAAATAAAACTCCCCAATTTAATGGCTACACACTTATCTATATTTCTAATCCCAACAACTTCTTGCTTATGTCTCAATTGTTCTTATCACGACAACACTCTAACTAGAACTGTGTTTGCTGCACAATCCGGCAGCCCTTATATAGTAAATCTGTAACAAAACATGTCTTCTAGAACATTCTGGCAACTAAGAATAGCGATTGATCGACGAAGACCGTCAAATAGCAACTAAGCTAAAACAACTATCATCCGTGTTCGTCACAATATTTATCAATGCTTTATCGAATCGGCAAATTCAAATTACTTAGCTTGTTTTCAACACTAACAAAATATAAAGTGTTGAATATATAAGTTTTCCAACCGACAAATGTAATTCTTTACAGATGAGAATTAAGTGATAGGGAATCGTATATTTCGTGGGTAACATTTCATATAATGGCGCAAGTAAACAAACCTGTCGAAGTTGCAATAAAATAATTAGAGAAAATACTAGTAGCATCGGCTGCTATGTTTGTAAAAAGTGGTATCACAAGAAGTGTAGTAGCTTAAGTGAAAAAGAATTTAAAGATTATATCGCTGAGTTTCGTAATAAGGTTTTACAACTTGGATTTCCTCGACATGCAAGTTAGAGGGTAGTATTATTATTAAGTCGGATTACGAATTCGAGGTGGACGATGGACAACACACAGCTTTGTCTGCTAGTACCTATGTAATTGAACGTACATATGCTCATTAAATATCTAGCACCATTTAAAATAAAATGGATAAACTAGAGCTCAATGTCACTGGGTTGCGTAATAATTTGAACAAATTCACGGAACAAAATAATAAAACAGACCAGTAGCAGAAGCTAATGGGTAAAAGGATCGACTAAATTGAAAAGCAACTAGATTCAATCAGTAATTTCAATGGGGATCCCAACTTTATAATTTCTGAACTGAACGAGCGTAAGAAACGTGAGTCTGAGGTCGTTATTTTTAATGTACCGGAATCTAAAAAACCAGCAGGATTAGATCGACGTAACGACGACAAGGAGCAGGTTGCAGCGTTATTTCCAGAAGATCAGTCAAACAAGATTCCGTCCTCTCGGCAAGCCAGTGCAGGGCAAGACCCGTCCAGTATTACTATACACAACATCCCCATCAATAGCAGAGAATGAAAATGAATAAAGAAGGGGCGAATGTTAAGTGAAATATTTTTGTATACTAATTTGTAGTTCCAGATGAGGAAACAGCGAAAAATATAACTTCGAAATAGAAAAATACACCACACAATGTGCGAAACAGAGAAAAGGCTATAAATAGACACAACCAATGTTCTTAAATGAATTATGCGCATGCTAATTTAGATTTTTGTTTTCAATTTCTATGATATTACAAAATTTGTAATGATGAAAAGCCTTTTGAATTAAAAAGGAGGATTACTGGTAAAAACCCCAAAATAAAATAAACATAGATAAATTCTTCAACAAATTTATGTGTGTTGCGTGAGCAAATGCTTATTGAGCAAAGTACAATAATAAAATTGTGGCTAAAGTAGCCGCGTTTCCACTTTTGTGGTGGCTTAGGTCATAACCGTGAAGGAGTTAAGCTCAATCCGAATACGAGCATATAAGTTCGAATCCTAAAACTCATGCAACCTAAATATTATTTAATTTTTTATTTTATTAATTGGAATCTTAGCTTATCTCAATTCAATTTCTTTAATAGCATATTTTACTTCCTGAGACAATTAAAATATTTCTAGAAAATATGTTCATATGTTTAGGATTATAGAATATTCCCTTATTTTTGCTTCTTCTTGACCCGCAAAAACAACGACTTTTGTCTAAACTTTTTGCATTTTGCGAGAAGCAAGTTGAACGATCACAGGCAAGGAGGGGTCAGGAGCGCACTGCCACATAATTATTTCAGATATTTTAAAGTGAAACTTTTATTACATCGTCTCAAACTTTTTCGTCCGCGTTTGCATGTCGTGCGTCACGCCACTTATCACTAACAACATGTGTGCGCACTGCTCTATACACATGCACATACATATGTACGTATGACATTGCCGAACAAATAATGCATACACAAACCTACGTACTATATGTATACGTACACATTTAAATACGTCACCCGCAAAAATTACAAACATTGTTCTACAAAAACAACAATCGTCTCAAGTAGCATAAGCAGCACACACACATGTCAATATGGCAGCCAAATTGCTGTAGCCCAAATTTATAGTAAATCACACAACAACAACATTTTCATTCATGAACGCAGGCTTACTCTTAACAGGCGAAGTTGACTCATTCATAAAAGTAAACGCCATACACATCTTCCCTCTTCTGTATATAAACATACATATTTACAATGATTTGTGGGCAAAGCTGTTAAAGCGGCAAGAGAAGCGGTGACAATCGGCGAGCGTTCCTTTATTTTTCGGCACATCTCGGATTTTCTACCAACAACACAATGTTGTGACGCTTTGTCGTTGCGTCAGTCGGTCGACAGATTGACTCTTTGACATGAAAGCAAAAAACGTGAAATTTCGCATGAAGCAATTAGTGTACATATTTACATACATACATATGTTGGTAGATAGATGTACAAACAGTATGCGCTCTTTCATATTTGTTTAGATGCACACATAATTATATACATATATTTATATATATACTAGAAGACCCCGGCCACGCCTTGCTGTGGCTAAGGTATAAGTAAATTATATTGAGTAAGCGGTTTAATTTATTAAAATGTTATTATTAAAACTAATTTCAGCATTTTTTATGGTTTAAATAATACGGGCAATTAATTAATTTTGTCCGTGTACAATAGTGCTGAAATTGGCTGGAAGTTTAGGGCATTTCGTATTTGGTCGCAGTTAGTATATGAAATATAACTTCTATCTGAAATGTAACTCATAGTATACATATTTTATTATTATTAAATACTTACATTAAAATGAAATCATCACTGGTGTTATTAATATTACCGTCAAAGTCGGTACATTTAATTGTGGCGAGTAATTTTCAAAAATTAGTAAATTAGTGCGATAGAATTTGATTAGAGAACCACATTTCCGAACAAACGATGCTCTTTCAATATAGTTTATGGCTGTGAATGACGATGACAATCGTTACGCACCTTCTATAGAGTATTAGAAAATCAAAAAAAAAAAAAAAAACAGCCAAATCGGTCTAGCCGTTCTCAAGTTATGGCGTGGCAACGGGGTTTCATTTTTATATAAGCTAAGTTTTCTTTGGTTAAAACCAGTAAAAAAATATAAAAATATATTTTTTAGTGAAGCATAGCTCCTTTATTGAGTGGTATCTTAATTAACACTAAATCCTAATTCTATTTTTACTTAACATTAAGCTTAACTTCTAAAGCAGCGCTGCCGCTGTTGTTTACGGGAAACGGTTGACATTCCGTTCTCACAGGAAACAAGTGTTTGGTCAGCACTTTTCAATTGCGCGTGCAATATGGCCTTCAGGTGAAGAGTCGTATTGCACTTTACGTTTAATTTGAGAGTTTGGTATTATTAGGGAGGGATAGCTTATTTGGTGCCAACTTATATATAGATGAGCATATGTGCGACAGCTTGGTCTTTTCAGATGTTATCAAAGCTTTTAATGATCAAAACAAATAAATATGTTACCAAATACATATATATAACGAGAATATCTATAAATTATATGCAGAGTCGTTTGCGCATTGTAAATAAACGAATCTGTAAGCGTACATTTCTTAACATTGGAATTAGCATTATTTTTCTCATTTTACAGTGAAAATACTCAATTTTGCTATTTTTAGTTTTAGTTACCATAAAATCTTGGTTACATTTATAAATTGTGAACGGATACTATTTATGGAAACTGTAAAAACGGATCAAAATGACTCAAAGATTATAAAATATTGTTTTCAGTATTTAAAATAAAACATTTTAATATGTGTCTAAAAATCATATGTGTTAAATCATCTAAATAATTGTAAAGTATTATGTATGTAGTACTCTAAGACACAGAGTTCAATAAAAATATTAGGTAGAGACCTGTCTACTTTTATCATTTCCGATTATCATTAATCTCATGATTTATGAAGCGATTTTTAGTTAAATGTCTATAATGTGAAAAAAACTTTTACCGTGGTTTCATAAAACCACACAAGCCTTTTTTTTATTAATCGAATTTATTTTAAAAACATTTAAGCAATTGTAAATATATTTTTACGCAAATATTATTATATTACGAAAATAAGTCATTAATGCATCAGTATTGTTCAATACAATTTAAGCAACATAATAATATGTTGTCACTTTTGCCTTTTGCAGTGTTTTGTCCTTGCAAATTGACTTATGCACTTTTGAAGTACTGCGATTTTGGATTTTGCTGCATTTTCATTGCATCGTTTTTAGATAAAATGGGATAAATCGCCGAACTATGAAATAAGGATAATAAGTAAAGATATAAAAGTGCTATATGGAGTGTGCTTATGGCTGAGCTCAGGCCACCAAGGGCTGCAGCTTGGCGAGCTGTGGACGACCTAAGTTCTTAGGTTAGCTGCGAATACTCAATAAGCAGCCCTCGACCAAGAGCGACAGGAGAGGAGGGTTCGGCTTAAAAGACCTGAAACATCCTAAGAGTCTCCGGTGACGAGGTGAATAGATGCCGCCTCAAAATAAGCATCCACAATCCCAAAGGGGCTGCCCCGAGGGAACACCTACCCACGAGAGGGAGGCAACAGAGCGACGAGGGACGCTACAAAAGGAAACCGAGAGAACACAACGAAAAGAAAAAAATAAAAATAAAAAAATTATAATAATAATAATAATAAAATAAATAAATAAATCCCCATTTGCTAAGCTCATACGGGGTCATAGATGGCGGATACTGATTTCAGTACCTGCAAGATGTGGGTTGGCTGCAAATATAAAATGAGCAGCTCCCGACCAAGAGCACAGCACAGATGACAAATAAAGCAACGAAGTAGGACCACGATTTTGACAAATGATTTGGAAACTTTGAACTTGGGCTGACGGCTGTGGCATTCTATTACCTCAGTATGCAAGAGTGGCATCTTGCAGAAATGGCTTTCTGGATAATGTCACAGTCGCCTCCGTCTCGTTAAAACCATGGCAGGTCTTCGAGAACGTTCGATGCTACGTCGCCATTAGGTTGGCGGTACAGGCTCAGTTGATTTAAATCCTGACTAGTGCTATGGTCCTGGCTCTGTACACGAATTCCCATAAGGTCTCGTGTCAACCCTCGTGTGGCCTCCCTGCAATGCATAGACAACCACAGGGACAGAAAATGCAACTGTACGGCTTGAAGCGGGGACCCTTAAAACATGAATGCGAAAAACGAAACAAAAGAAAACACTAGAGAACTAGAGAAACACCAAAAAGCACAAGCGGGCGACGAATTGAACGCTTTCAGAAGGCAAAGCAAAATCATGCGCTCGCCGCCTCGAGAGGATAAACCAAATTAGGCGCAGGAAGAAACCGCTTCAACTGTGCCTAAACCAGTAGATGCAAACAGGCAAACAGAAAACAGGACCCCGGCTCTCGACCAAAGCTCGCGAAGTGAACACAGCTCCCCAAGGCAGGAGTTTATCATGAAGATGAGAGCAGAAGAGGATGCGGCGCTTCTAAAGTGTCGCGTCACCCTCAAAAAGATGAAGATGGCAATGTTAAGACAGAAAAACATAAGCATCGAGGTGAAAAATGGGGTATCCGAGCTAGACGAGCTCTTTGGCATTATAGCTAGCCTGCGACGGAACTGGATAAAGGCAGAAAAAGATACAAGGCGCAAAAACGCAACTAAATCCCTAGAAGTATGCAACCAAAATGCAAATGTTTCAACGCCAGTGACAGCTCTTCCTAAACGGACTGCACCCAGCCCAGATGAAAAGGAGTCAGAGAAAAGGGGACGAGGACCCGGGAATACCGTGTGGCATGTAGTTAAAGGGAAAAGAAACAGCAGACATAATGAGACAAAATCGCAGAACAAACCCCTGGCTACCCAAGACGGGCAGGAAAGCTAAAAGCTCAGCAAAAACGGGTAAAAAACCAGGAGTACGGCCAGAAGCAGTGCTAATCAAACCAGCGGAAGGTCGCAGCTATGCCGAGGTGCTCCAAACCATACGTCAACACGTCATGGCGGATCAAGACAAGGTGGAAGTCCGGGCAATACGGAAAACAAAATCAGGGGCCCTGCTCCTCGAACTGAAGAAAGGAGAAAAACCAAAACCAGAGCTCCAAAACGCGCTTAAAAACAACCTACGTGGTATAGCTTCTATAAGCGAGCTGAAGCAGAAAGCCACAATAGAGATCCGAGACCTCGACTCCCAAACTACCGCAGCAGAAGTTACGTCCTCAGTAAGAAGACTACTAGAAGAAGCAGTTGAAGAAATAACAGTGAGGACCAGCACCCCAAACACTCGCGAACAAATACGCGACATTGACAGCAGGCAACGCAAACAGGATACTTAAGGAAGGCCACATAAAAATAGGATGGATCAGCTGCAGAATGAAGCTCATGAAAGAAGTCAAAAAATGCTACAGATGCTTCAACTTCGGTCACCTACAATGGGAGTGCAAACGGCCTGATAGGAAAGGCCAAGAATTATGCATACGTTGCGGGAAATCCGGGCACAAGCTGAAAGATTGCACAAATACACCGAGCTGTTGCCTCTGTGTGGAACAAAAGCATAGCCAAACAGACCATAACCCAGGGTCTCGCACGTGTGAGTCGTACAGGGAACAAATGACGATATGAAGATCCTGCAGTGTAACATGCACAGAAGCAAAACCGCTGACTCCCTGCTACCACAGCTCATGCTGGAATTCGGAACCGAAGTAGCAATCATCAGCGAGCAATACAGGATAGTGCAAGACGGCCCTGACGGGATACCAGTGGAAGTGATAAAGCTAAGCAGAACGTCCTCACTTACTGTTATCCATGTATAATGCATGTTTGAACGAGGGCATCTTCCCAGAAGTATGGAAGAGACAACATCTGACCCTGATAAGTAAAGGAAAAGGAAACCCAGAAACACCATCAGCATACAGACCTCTGTGCATGCTAGATACAGCAAGAAAGTTATTAGAAAGGCTGTTGAAACCCCGCATAATAGGCGCCACAAACAACGCTGGAGGCTTATCATAGCGACAACATGGCTTCAGACCAGGCAGGTCCACAATCGGAGCCGTTGAAGACGTCGTGCGCAGCGTGGACGAAGCCAATCGGAAGAACAACTTCTCGAGGCCAATAGTCCTCCTCGCAACAATAGACATAAGAAATGCATTCAATAGCGCAAAATGGATAAATATGATAGATGCACTAGAAAGCCGATTCAAGACGCCCCCCTACCTGATGAAAATGATACGAAGCTATCTTAAAGACAGAGAACTGCTATATGACACAAGGGACGGCCCTCAAAGAAAAGAAATCACCTCCGGAGCAGCGCAGGGATCCATACTTGGACCAGACCTATGGAACGTTGACTACGACGGAATTTTAAACGTCGAAATGCCAAACGACTGCTACCTCGTTGGGTACGCGGACGACATCGCTGCCGTCATAACAGCTCATAATACCGACATAGCCAGACGCAGACTTACACAAGTCATGCTGCGAGCACAGACATGGTTGGACTCACACGGCCTTAGCCTAGCCGCAGAAAAAACCGAGCTGATCCTGCTCACTAGGAAACATATCCCGTTGGAGGTGAACATGAAAGTTCATTCAGAAACCATACAAACGACGAAAACCCTAAAATACCTAGGGATAAGAATGGACAACAAACTGACGTACTGGGCTCAAATTCAGCACGCTGCTAAAAAGTCAGCCAATATAACCATGTCGCTTTCAAAACTTATGGCAAACATCGGAGGTCCGCTTGCAAGCAGAAGGAAACTGCTCATGGACACAACACAGTCAGTGCTATTATATGGTAGTGAACTGTGGGCCGATACATTAAATGTGAAACATAGACGGAAAGTAGTTGCTAAGGTGCAGAGAACAGCAGCCCTGAGAGTCGCCTCGGCTTACCGCACTGTATCCGAATCCGCAGTGCTAGTGATAAGCTGCGTAATCCCAATATATCTACTCGCAAAGGAGAGAAGACAACTCTGGTTATGGAAGAAAAATGGAACGGAAATACACATGCAAACAAGACAACAAGCAAGGAAGCAAACACTCGAATTTTGGCAAGATCGGTGGACAAGGGAGCGCAAAGGGAGATGGACCGCCAAATTGATCAAAGATATAGAGACATGGCATAGTAGAAAACACGGCGAGGTGAACTACTACCTAACACAGATGGTCTCCGGCCACGGATATTTTCGAAAATACCTGTATAACATGGGTAAAGCCGAGAGCCCTGTATGTATTTACGGAGACGAACCACTCGATGATGCAAACCATACCTTCTTTAAGTGCCATCGATGGAATGAAGCTCGGAGAACTCTAGAGAACAAAGTTGGAGAACTAAACACGGAAAACCTAATAGCGAAAATGATAGCTAGCGGCGAAAACTGGCAACAAATTGCCTCATACGTGGACCATGTACTAGGCATCAAGCAAAGGGACATGGACGCGGACCCTCCGAACAATTCCACTCAATAGAAGATAGTCAGCCTGATACTGGCTACAAACCAGTAGGCATCCCTGGACGCAGAGAGAGTAGAAACTGACCCGCTATGGGTCCATCTTCGAAACCTTGCTCTGAAGTAATGCGAAAGCGGTCCCGGGGCAAGGTAAAAATCCATGAAAGAAGGGAGGAGTGATTTAGTGGGTACACCACTCACGTAGGATGACGATCCCTATATGGTGCGAAGGCATTTTCAACCCTCCTTACGGCCTAAAAACCAAAACAAAAAATATGGAGTGTGCTTAGAATATATGGAAGTAGTGAAAGATTTCATGTGAATGGCAATTTTATAATTTAATGCCATATATAGTGATATATATTAAATAAATTAAAATAATATTATAACTCGTTAATAGGTCATGTTGCCAATTCTTCTTCTGAAGGGAACATCAGACAAATCCTTCAATTTTTGATTTTAGGCATCGTAGTGAGGCAGCAGCTTGTGGGCAACATACAGATGCGAGGGGATAGGTAGGATTTTCAGTGGTCAAATTTTAAAATTGAAATTTTTCTCGTTTTACTGAAACTATTCAAATTTTATTTCATTCTTTCATTTTATAAACTAAAGTTTCGCACATTTTGCGTAGGAGTTCCATATGAAAATAAAATGTGGTTGACCAGGCACACAGAAAAAATAGCGCGGCGCAGAGTTATGAACGAACGCACTTTGCTTTGAAGCAGACGCACGTTCCTTATATGTGAATTTGTTGTCGTTGTAATATGAAATACTTTAAAAAATATTACGCGAGATCGCTTGAATATTATTGGTCGATGATGGTGCGTCTACGTTTTTTTGTCACTTGCGCGAATGTTTGATTTTTTGCGAAAGACATATTGAGGGACATACATATGTGCATAAAAGGTGCAATTCAAAAGTTTCAGGACTTTTATTAAAAAATCAAGAAGGTTATCGAATGACTTTAAGCGATGATTTCGGCTCTTTTTAATGAATTCACGCACAATTTCCGTGTTTTTTTCGTACACAACATCTTTTGGCCGGCCCGAACGCTCGTTGTCTTCCAAGTCCTCCCGTCTCTCTTGAAAACGTTTAAACCACTCGTGAATACGTCTACGGGATAGACAATCATCGCCATAAACTTTGTTCATCATTTGATGAGTTTTGGTAAAAGTTTTACCAAGTTTAAAACAAAACTTAATGTTGGCTCCTTGTTCGATGCTTATTTTCCCACCGACACTACAAATGTATTGTCACATGTAGCGCGATATCTCAGCTGTTATACAAGTCAGCTGTTATATAAATTTTATACGACAACACTGAAGAATACACAATTGAGGGATAACAATTTCAGATAGATGGCGCCACTAGAAGCCACGTTGTTTAAAAAGTCTTGGAACTTTTGAATTGTACCTTGTATGTATACATATAATATATGGAAATATATTTGGACATGCGAATGAAGGAAGGTAATTTCAAAAATATTCACATATAAATATATGAACATTTGAAGCAAGTAAACAACAATAGATGTTTGAGTTCACAGATTAAACAAAGTTGCTCGAATATAATCTGCGGTGTTGCTTGTATAGCACACTTACTTATTGCAACGTGAAATATTTTGCTTAAGTTCAAATCCTATCAGATGTATTTATAAAAATTTTTTTTTTTATAACCCTTTTTTACTGAACGATTTTTTAATTACTTTGGTTTTTATTATTTCAAAATTTGTTTATGCGCATACCAAAGAACATCTGTGCATATGTATGTATATGCATTTTGCTTAAATAAAATAGTTGATACGCCGAGAGAAAAAATAAAGAAATGGAACATAAGAATAAAATATCAAAACATGAGAGGTTTAAGAACAAAATTACATCAATTTATAACCTCTTCAACATGCTTCAATGGAGATATAATTTGCGCCAGTGAAACCTGGTTACATTCTTCGATATCGAATGGTGAAATAATTGACAATAGTTTTAGGTAATTTAGGAAAGATAGAGACAGCAACACAAGTGATCATAAACGTGGAGGTGGTGCCCTAATAGCGGTAAAGGGTGAAATATCGGCAGAAGAGTTAGAAACAGAAGACAATAATATAGAACACATATTTATTAAAGTTAAATGTACGGAAGGCGACTTAGTAATAGGTTGTGTTTATCTACCTCCACTATCACCATTGGACGTCTACATTAATCATACCAACACTTTTCAATACCTAAAAAACAAATACCGTGACTGCAAGCTGTTAATCTTAGGAGACTACAATCTACCTAGTAGCTAAACACAAGCACAATGTGTAAATTTACTGTATATAAATATATATATGCAATATGTTTCTCGTTAATTGCGAACAACTCAACACGATCCCCAATGATAAATAAAACCCTAGACCTTTGCTTTAGCAACACAAACATTTAAGTCACCAGAGGAGATCCTCTCATTTATGAAGACAAACATCACCAGAGTTTAAACATCAGGGTGGATACTCTAGCTAATTTAAAATAAAGCAAGTCGCCAAAATATATTTTTAAGAACGCAAATTACCCAGATTTAAATGGATTTTTTCTAACTTGCAGTTGGATTGAATTATATAAGCTAGAGTCAATAGATGATAAAGTAGACTGGTTCTACAACGTTATAAATTAGGGAATTATCCGACATGTACCTGTTTTCAACAACAAAGCAAGTAACTACCCAGTTTGGTTTTCCAGAGAGCTGATAAGTAAAATCCGTGAAAAAAATGCAGCATATGCAAAATATGAAAAACCCAAGACAAGGCAACAATATAATACATTCCGGAAACTTAGATATGTCTGCAAAAATCTACATAACGATTGCTACAACAACTATATAACAAAAACAGAATCAAGGATTAAACAAGATGCCACAACCTTCTGGGCATTTATCAAGAACAAAAGAAGGAGTGACATAGATATCCCGGCTACTATGACCTGGAAGGAAACCACAGTTAGTAATGGAGAAGAAGTAAGTAATCTCTTTGCAGCTTTCTTTAAAAGCATTTATAAAACTAATAATGACGGATTGCCTTTACATGACGATCATAACGAGTCACAGCCAAGAAATGGATTTATCAGAGCTCCAGGTATCATACAATGTCGTTTATGAACAACTGCGCAAACTGAACCCCAAAAAAGGAGCAGGACCTGATGGTATACCTAATTTACTTCTAAAAAAAACTGCGCAATCGGATTAGCAGAGCCTATTACTCATCTATTTGATGCATCGCTCAAGTCTGGCATTTTTCCATCAGCGTGGAGAACCTCCTTCATCTGTCCAATACATAAAGCAGGTTCTAGAAGTGACATGGCTAACTATAGACCCGTATGTATTCAGTCATCCACTGCTAAGCTCTTTTTACATCCGAATACCAACTATTTGCTGATGACTTAAACATCTTAGCTGATGACTTAAACATAAATAGCGATGATGATATTGATATTCTACAGCGTGATATCAACACACTCCACAGTTGGTGTCAAAAGAATAATTTAAATTTAAGCAAGAAAAATGTGTGGTTCTATGTCTCTCTAGACTAGTAAACCCACCTCCAACAACCTATCATCTCAATGAGTACCAACTATCTGAGGTATCATCAATTAAAGATCTAGGCATTATCATAGATAACAAGCTTAGTTTATATCATGTGGACAAGATAACATCTCATGCCTTCAAAACACTCGGCTTCTTATTCAGGACAGGCAAAGAGTTTAAAGATGTCTACACACTTATACACATATTATATATAAAACGCTGGTACGTCCTATATTGGAATATGGCTGCATTATCAGGTCACCTCACACTCAACAAATGATTAGTATAATTGAAAAAATACAACGGAAATTCTTAAAATTTTTTACACATTATATATACACACGAGGGACCCACTTAACAACAGATGAGGTGTACAGTTACTTCTAGATCGACAGTCTGTTTAATCGTCGTCAAGCTGCTGATTTAACTTTCTTCAGATCAGCAACCAATTTCAATTCATTGAGTCCAGACCAGGGCTCCGTACGAGAAAGTTGTTAACCATAATATAAACAACCAAAAACTATGATATGAATATACAGCAGACATCGACTTTTTTGCAAGATCTCTGTCAAGTTTCAAATCTAACGTCAAAAAATAATATTAACCAGCTAGCACTCATATTGTCTCCATCTTCATTAATTATATTTATTAACCTGTTATCGCATATACTTCCATTAAAATACTAAATTCTATCAACTTATATAGTGTATTATAAAATAAATATTAGTAATTTAATTCAATGTCGCAATCAAACAAAATTTATAAAATTTTATGTACACTGCCGATTGGCGTTTCTTTCTAATAAAAAAATGAATGATGATTGAAGCGTATTCACATCAAGGTCGTTATTTCTAAAAGTTGCCTATTACTACAATAATTTACCGACTTTGTAAAGAAGTTTACTTAACGTTTTCAACGTCGGTGTCAGCAAGGCCCATAAGGGGTACGTCAATTATAAAGTGACTAGGCGTGAGAACCTCTAAGCAGATTTCATCTCTAAGGAAGTAGTACATTAATTAAGACAAGCTTCGACTTCAGATATTATTGTTCCAAATTCATGATAATTTAATGGGCTTAAAGCGAGTTCAGATGATATTTAATTCTTGCTATACTAGTCAGCCAAAACCAACTTAAATGTGGAGCCCCGGCCGATTGGATTATTAAGTCTGCTAAATATGATATCAAATGCGTAAAAATTTCAAAAACCAATCCGAGATGATGATAGTGCACCACCCTCACCTTTCAAATTTAACACTTACCGTCGTAGTCCATTTGTAGTAAATTATGGAGAATTTGCAACCACATATCGAGGTTGATATGATTGAGCCATTAATGATAAAGAAATCTCATCGCAAGCCCAGTTTCAAACTTCACAATTGTAAATTAAGTAAATTGTTCCTTGAACTTTTCCACTCAAGTACAAGTTAACACGGGTAATCAATCATCCGGCCAAAATATCACTTCAACGTAATCAAATATCGCTTCAACGTAATCTGCTGACGGCGCGTCTACAGTTTTGCACATAACACCAAAGAAAAGTTCAGTACTGCAATAATAACGCTTCCGGCCATATTGCTGATCGAACACTTATAGTCTTGCGCGAGACAACAATAAACCAAATACAAGACAATAAGCGGAATTGGTTCACGCGGCAAATAACGTGCAGCAACTAAAGTTAGCAAGCAGTGTAGGTATTTAGACGCTAGCGTCGCTTTGTGTAAATCAGTTGTAATAACTCTCCGTTGAGACCGGCTGCCCTTGTAAAGGGAAATAAAAATGCAAAACGAAATTAACAGATCGTTTACTGGCGCCCAACGTGGGGCCAAACAAATAAACCACTTGTAAGGACACTCGCGTTTGGCCGTGGGTTCGGACCCACCTCCTAAAAAGAAAAGGACTCTAACTAAAGTGAAAATATTCAGAACATAAGATCGACACGCTCGACGAGTCAAGATCACTTGAGTGTTTGTTACGTTTAAAAAAATTGAGAAAATTTAAACGGTTCAAATCACGCTAAAGTGTCAAAGGTTTTTAAAAGAATCCTTGTGTTCGACATAAACTGATAAACGTTTTTGGAAAGAAAACAAGTTAAAAAAAAACTTTAAATATCGAATATATTTAAACAAAAAACTATCATCCGAAGACTTTTAATGGATTTTAAGTGTCAGTGACTAGTGACTCTTAAATAATCACACACACATACACACACTCGCATCCAACGATAAAACGAGACGCAAGCCAAACAGAATAATAAAAACTTACAAACTCTATTAAAACCATATCTACAGAATTCTACAAAGCTAGATAGATGCTAGCTAGAACGTGTGTACGACGAAGGCATAGACGAACTGGCAGGACAACCAACTTTACACAATCAATCAACCACCAAAAAACCAACTTTAACCAACACAGCAACATACTAACATATGAACATGGGAATATTTATGTAAGTAGAAAGGTCAGCAGCTAATATTTCTCAATAAAAGTGTGAATAAATTAGATTTCCATTCGAAATTTTAAAAAAAGCAAAGATAGTATTTTTTTATTTTGAATCAAAGACTATGGATTCCCAGACTCTCCAAACCCTTCTAAATACCGCAATCCGTGCGGCAACCGAACATTCTAGACAGGAATTTCAGACCCACATAGACGAGCTTACAAATAGGTTAGCTAGAATTGAGACCCCGACTCAGGTAATTCAATATGAACCAGTTACAATTAATCCAAATGTATTGTGTGACGAATCCCTAGACCTAGTAAAGACCATGCCGGATTTCAGGGGTGATCCTACTCGTTATGTCTCCTGGAGACAAGCGGCGCACACGGCGTATAAAGTATTCGAAGGATACCAGGGTAGTTCTAAGCACTACCAGGCAGTAGGCATCATAAGAAACAAAGTAGTAGGGGCAGCAGACAGTGTACTTTCGTCCTTCAACACAGTCTTGAATTTTAAAGCAATTATTGCAAGGCTAGATTTCGCATACGCCGATAAAAGACCCATCCATCTAATAGAGCAGGAGCTGTCCACCTTAAGGCAGGGTAAACTATCAGTGATAGCGTTCTACGATGAAGTTGAAAGGAAACTGACCCTTATAATAAACAAAACAATCATGACTCACGGTGGAAACACCGCCCTAATAGAGTCACTCAATAATAAATACCGCGAGGACGCTCTCCGCATTTTTTATTTTCGGGGAACTCAATCGTCCTTTATGTGACATACTGTTTTCCTCCAGGCCTTAATGACCTTCCTCCGCTTAGCTTTAGCACAGGAGCTTGAAAAATCAGCTAGGCTCATGTTTGCCCAGACTTTTAACAGGCAGCAATTCAGGTCCAAGCCAATTTCCGTATTTACCACAGTACAACGATTCGGCCTGACCAACAACGATGGCCTTCAGGGACAAAGGTCGTACCAATGGATGTGACCCATCGCTCTCAAGGGTCAGCAAAATAGACCCCAGCCAATAAGGGTAATAGTAGGGGTTCCATCAAGGAGCCTATCCAAGGCTCCCTCATCCAAATATTGGCAACTCGAGTGGCTTACCCAACGAAATACCATCCAACTTCGGAAAGCAAAAGCCGCTTCTCTAGGCAGGGAAAGGCCAGAGAAAAGACCACACGGGAGTGGCAGCAGCATACACAAGATACAGGATAAACAACCTTACCCAGGAACAGGACGACTTCTGAGGAAGATACTGAAATAACGCTGATGAATATATTATACAAGCGAGGGTTGAGAGAAGTAATCAGTTGTATACATCAGACGAATTAAATGATGGATGTGAATTTTTAGGACAAAATCACATTTTTGTAAAAATACTACATCTTTGATCTTACGGCCAGTAGGTATCATAGAGTTTTGATCTATTAACCGGACCGTGTAACGGTAAAATAGATTAGTAAAAACGGACTTTCTTAGTTATGATGGGAACAGGAAAGCTTTTTACATATCATATGAGTGTTAATAAATTAATAAACAAACGTGGAGTTGGAATCCCGCTCTGTTGCAGCGACACGCTAGTTTCTGCGGATCCAACGAGTTTCTACCTTAAAAGCACCAATATTATAGGAACAATCAGGGACCACCGATGACACTTCCAGTTTACTTCAGGATGATCCGATTCGCAACTTCCGAATTTCTAATCATTGAAATGCCAGGTTTTTCATTAACAATAGACCCTCGTCCGGCTTCACCCAATTAAGTCTAGCTGAAAGGATCAGAGAAAAATGGCTTCTGGAGTTAATAATGGCAAATGAGTTCTGTAGTCTCCATTCTGGCTCAAAATGCGCCATATTTTCAGAGGGCCATTGATGACGTATTAAGAGAAGAAATCGGTAAAATATGTCACGTCTATGTAGATGATGTCATAATATTTTCGGAAAATGCCGAGCAACATCTAAAAGACATAGACCAGGTACTACACAAACTTATCCGCCGACAAGTCAAAATTTTTTCAAGAAAGTGTCGAATTTTTGGGCTTTACAGTGTCTAAAGAGGGTATTAGGACATGCCCCGATAAAGTCAGGGATATTTTGGACTTCGCTGTTCCCAAATCCTTGAGAGCCTTACGATCATTCTTGGGGTTAGCTAGCTATTACAGATGCATTATTAACGAGAAATTGCCGTCTTTTTTCTCGGATCCTTTTAGGCTAGGCTTAATGTGGTGGAAGCCGGACTTTGAGGTCTATGTTCGAAAAAACCTGGGCATTTCCAATGGTTAGCCAAAATTTACGAAGTGTCCGGAATCGGAAGTACTTGTCACTAACTGTTTTGTTGTTCAGTTTCCTAAAAGTCTATTACGGGTCTGATTCCTATTTACCGTCTTCGTCAATGCCCTTTTACGTTACAACCCATATTGGATGTATTCATTTAAGGAGAACGGGATGGTCTTTATTATACCGTCACGCAGGAGATTCGAAAATCTCCTTATTGACAAAACTCGGCTGAAGCCTATGGGATGGGTAGCTCCTTGAGAGTAGTTAAACTGGAAGGTCATTCGGTGGCCTGATTGTTCCTATAATATTGGTATTTATAAGGTTAGAGCTTTGTTGGAGTCCGCGAAAACTTAGCGTGTCGCGGCACAGAGCGGGAACCAATGTCCAACTTGCTCACGTTTGTTTCAATTTAAAAAATTTATTTTATTCTTTCCGGGCAATAGTGAATAAAAAAAAAGCTTTTCCTGTCCCCATTCATAACTAAGGAAGAATCCGTTTTACAATCTATTTTACCGTTCACTCGGTAATAGGTTTCAAACCTTAATGAATCCCGTCGAAGGTGTCTTAAGCTGGGGTAAGATAAAGATTTAGTTTTTTATTAAAAATGGTTGATGTAACAACATTTGTCAATTTTCAGTGTTGCCGTGATAGATATTGCTGGTAAAGGCCCATGGTTTGCTGGCTGATTCCCTTTAGGTCGCGAGCCGTTTATGTACTCTTCGCAGCACC